TTACACTTCAAATTCTCCCTTGCTTTACACCCCCCCCGCATCTGGCCTGGGAAGTCCAAGGAGTTGAAAGCAGGTGGAAGATGCTTTTTTTGCACTTCCTTTGCACTTGTAGTGCCAGGCAGTGCCTCTGTTTGTTATTTACCTTCTGACAACTGGAAGATTTGCAGTGACACAGTTTGAATGTACAAGTTTATCTCTCAGTCTGGAGCTGCAGAAATTTTACATCCCGTGGCGACACCCAGCAGGGGCTGGGAGGGGGTGCAGCAGCCAGGGCAGCTCCTCCTGGGTGTAAGTGTGGATAATTTGGAGGAAATGATGAAATTCTGTTGCTCTGAATGTGCTGCCTCCAGTCCTGGAGCTGGTACTGCCCAGAGAGGTCTGGGATTTGGATTAGGAGGATGTTCCTCCCTTCTTCTTTCATGGCAAGAGGCTGATCAATGCTGGAGGGGTTTGCAGCTCTCCTGCTGGAGCAAGAGGCAGCCAGAGCTGTGTTCAGCTGGTGTTTGGGTTGTGCTGAGGTGTCTGCTGGTGTTCAGGGTGTGCAGGGTGTCAGGAGGTGCCCGTGGTTGGGATGCAGCTCTTCCATGAGAATATTGCAAAGTAACCCTTCCATCATCTCCCTGAGCAGGAGCCCTGAGTGAATCCCATCAGTCTGGGGACATTTTTCAAGCAGTTCATTGCACAAACCAGCTGTTGGAAGTGGAGACTGGTTAAGGCAACTTGTAAAAAAAAAAAAACCTGAAAGAAATGACTGATCACCAGTGAATTAATGTTGGAAAGGGGCCGTGTCCCAGACGGAGACATTTCTCTGCAAAGCCTCGTGTGTGGGTTTCCTTAAAGGTTGGACTTGATCATCTGGGAGGTCTTTTGCCACCTGAATCATTCCTTGGGTTGTGTTTTTTCCCTCTGCTTTGGATGGTGATCCCTTTGGAGAAGGGCTCTGTGCCCTGGGCAGGAACTCCATCGTCCTGGGCTGGAAGCTTGAAGTGCTGCTGCAACTTAACCCACCCTGCTGCATTCCTTGGAAGGTCCACTCTGCTGATAAACCATTCTCCTGATAACCATTCTCCTGCTAAACCCCTCTCCTGATAAACCCCTCTCCTGCTAAACCCCTCTCCAGAACTGGGAGCAGCAGGAGGCAGTGGCAGAGCAAAGCTGAGCTCAGCTCTGTGCCCAGTCTGGGCATCTCCATCCCAAACTGGGACACGACACGTGCCCACAAACCCAGCTCTGGGATGAGCCCCTGGGGGTGTTCCCCCTTCAGGAATTGAGTCCATGGATAGCAGTAGAACTGGAATATCTGCATAAATACAGCTGGAATGAGCCACCAGAGCTGAGATACAGGGCAGGGCTGGGGGTGGCTGATGGGAGGGAAGCTGCAGAGTTCCCCTTTCCTGAGGTGCCTCCTGTGAGACTTCAGGGTTGGAGAGAATGTGCCAGAAACTCTTGAAGAGTGTCATCCTCTGTCAAATAAAAACCCACCTGGAACTTCACAGCCCAGGCACTGGCATTGCCCTTTCATATCTTCCCACTTATTCCTGCTCCTGGGCCAAAGGGATAAAGAGAATTGTTTTTTTGCAATCTGCAGAGGAGAGTTGAGTGTTTCCTCCTCGTGTACATTAAATTTTAGATAAGGTTTTTGTCAGTCAAGCCTGAGCTGAACTAACTCAGAGCTGGCAGCAAATTACAGGATGCAGGAATTCTCCCGGGCCTGCTGACTCCTTCCAGCAGTGTCCAATATAAATGAAGTTCCCTCCTATTACAGCTGATGGGGAATAGATTATTTCCCAGTTTGTCAGGCAGTTCTCTGTTTGCAAGGAGCAGTTTTGTTTTATCTGAGTCCAGAGCACCTCTGAGTCGACGTTGTGAATGTGCAAATATCTCAGTGGATTAATTTGATAATGTCACAGAACTGTCACTTGTTTTCCCTGTTATATTTTTGTTTTCTTCAGTTGGGTTTATGTCCATATTTCTGCCCTTCTGTGCAAGGATGGTGTGAGTTTATGTTGATTTTGGAGCTGGTTACCTTCCATGTGACCTTGGGAACACGATGCCTCTGACCTTGAATGTATTTTCTGGCCTTCCCACAGCCTTGGGAGCTTTGATCCCATCTGGAAACAGAGGGATGGAGCCTCTTTAACCTCCCAATTTCCTCAAATTGCCCTGATGAATTTAGGATTAAAATAAGAACTGTGCAGGAGGGGCAGTTTCACTCTCCCCCCGTTGCCTCTTGAGCGTTGCTCTGGTTGGAGGAAAGATGGTTTGGTGGGATTGTTTCACTGGATTTTCACTGTGGATTCGTTTCTGGACAAAGAAGAAGCATTTTTGGGTGGAAAATCTTTTGCATAACGAAAGGAACAAAGGAATAAAACGGCCAGTCTGCAAATGTGAGAACAAAGTCTGTTGGTGGTGACAGGCAGGCAGAGACCATCAGGCATCCCATGAGAGAGGCCAAGGGTTCAGAACTGAGAGAAGAGGGGCTGAGCTGAGCCAGCTGACTGAAATGAAGGTGGTTGCATTGTTTGTTCACCTGCTGCTGTTGGTCCTTAGTGCCTTGGCAGGACAAAAGTTGGTTTGGGGTGAAAAATGCCCAGAAAAAAAAGGAGTATTTGTGTCTTGGTGGATACAGACACTTTTGTGTCCATGTCTAAGGGGATACAGACACATCTCCAGATTTTGCTGGGAGGAGGAAATCCTCTCTGAAGGATTACTCTAGTTTGGGAATGGACAGTCTGTGTCTTACCCTGAGGCAGTTCTAGATCTGAGCAGACCATGAATAATGTGTCTCCCCTGTTCCTGAGCTACTGGGGTTCATTTACCCCTCTGTGATCAACATTCCCCACTCCTGGGCAGCTTTTCTGGCACTGAGTTCATGTTCTTTTTCAGTGAACTCCACAGCTAAATGGAGCTGAGGTGGAGGAGAGAGGTGGATCCCACTCCTGAGAGGGAGTGCTCTGGAAATGCAAAATACTCTGGAAATGCAAAATACTCCATCTGCCCTCGTTGAGGAATCCTGTGTTAATCCCCGGTGGATTGTGGGGCTGTCCTGGCTCTCATTGAGATAATAAACATGCTACAACAAAGATTCCCTGGGTAGTAAACACGGTTGGACCGTTTTAGATTCCCAAAGCTGTGAACTTCGTCTGGCAGAGAGAAGTTCCACCCCAGCGTTTGTTGGTTTTTTTTTTTGTACCAAAGTAGGTCAATCTAATTATAATTGGCTTTAATGAGCGCTACTCTGCAGTTCTTTACCTGTGGCTGCTTGGCACTCAGAAGTGCAAATGCCTTTGGAGCCTTTGAAAAAAAAAAAGGCAAGGAGAAATCAAAGAAGTAATTTCTACTCTAATTCATTTCAACTTGAAAGCCTCGGTTATCCACACACAGGGGGGAGACAATCCAGCAGCAGCGGGAAAAGCCAGAGCAGAGCAGGGATCAGCAGCCACAGGATAAGGGTGAAAATGCTTTTAGTCCCACGAGGTTTTACCCTGCAAGCTGCCTGGGATTTGGCTTTGTGTGGAAGGAGTTACTCCAGGAAAGCCAGGGAGGGTTGTAGCAGTTTGGAGCGAAGTCTTTGTGCCTTTAAAGGCATCCAGGGCATTAGTGCAGGGAGAGGAAAACACTAAAAAGGAGAATTTGTCATCTAGGCTGTTCCCAAAGCAACATTTATGTACCTGTTTCCCCAGAGAGAAGAAAATCTCATGTATCCAGAAATTGGACGTGGTGGCAGCGGATCTTTATCTTGGGGATGGAGCGTTCCCAGGCACTGCTTTGGGGAAGGAAAATGGGTTTGAGGGAGGTGTTAAGTGTTCAGCTGGTGGTGCAGGAGTGGGTTTTTGTTCTCAGAAGATGGAGCTCTTCAGAAATACTGATTGGAAGACATTTGCTGAAAGGAGCAGAAACCTCTCAGGACCGGGTGAGAGGAATCAGCAGCCCCAGGAGGCTGGGGCTGACCAAGGATTTCTGTCCTGTGACCCCATCAGCTCTACCAGGGGCATGGGGTGGGTCTGGTGATGGCTTTTACTCCAGACAACTGTTCACAGAGTCACAGAAGAGTTGGGAGTTGGAAGGACCTTAAAGGATGGGCTGTTGGGTCAGGCCTTGGACTGTGTCCTGCTCTTTTTTGGAGCCAGGACAAGTTGAATTCCTGCTCTTTTGCCATTCAGTTTTCATGCAGCCTTGCCCAGACAGGCTCAGCTGGTGACTCAGCTCCTCGTTCTGTGTTATGGATGTTCAAGGTGAGGGGGTGTCTCACTGTCTGCACGCTGGGTTTGTGTCTCTGTTCAGGGCAACTGAGGGTGAAGGAGACCATCAGCTCTGCCTTTGTCATTGTGCTGTTCTGTGGCCTCGTGTTTGAGGCCCCCAGGCTCGTGTTCAACCCCAAAACACCCAGAGGATGATGAGGAATATGTTGGATTTTGTTGTGGGTCTGAGGAAACATTCCCAGGAACAGGCAGAGTCCAGCTGTTGTTATCTGTGATAAATAATTGTGATTTGTGAAACAAATGGGTGATCACATCAAAACAAAACAAACCGATTGTAAAACTTAATTACACCCCCAGAAAGAAATAAAACAGACCCTTACAAGGTCAAGGGGCCCTAAAACCTCCCTACTATCCTAAGAATAAAATATGGTGGAACTTTAAATCTGTTTGTCCAAGAATGCATGAATTATGACCGGTTGTAGAGATAATCATTTAACTTTAGCTGTAAGAAAAACACTCAGCAAAAAAACTGTAAAATGTCTATGTACATGATATAATTAATATGCATGAAGATAAATGCCAAATGTGCACTGTAGCAGGTGTGCAGATTTGGGAAACTTGTCCCCATTTCTGTCACCCTGTCACGGCTGCTTTGCTTTTGCCATAGAATAAACTCCTATTCAAAAAAACTTATAGAAACTCGAGACTTTGTTTATCCCACTGTGTTTGGGTGTTAAATACTTGTCTGCCACTGTTTGACTCTGTGCTTTCTGTGTTCTCTCTCTCTCTCTTTGCCAGCCCAGAACTGCAGCCACGTCCTGCAGGGCCCCAACGGGACGATCCAGAGCCCGGGTTTTCCCTACGGATACCCCAATTATGCAAACTGCACGTGGACAATCAGTGCCGAGGAGCAGCACAGGATACAGCTGGTTTTCCACTCCTTTGCCCTGGAGGAAGACTTTGATGTGCTCTCCATCTTCGATGGGCTGCCCCAGCAGGGCACTCTGAGGACGAGGTACTGAATGAGATGTTCCCAAACATTCCTGGGATTCAGCCCGGGCTGGGTGTTTATGCTGCAGTGAAGCTGGGAGTGTTTTCTCCATGAGCAGCTCTTTACAGTTGTTTTGATTTCTTATCTCTGATAGGGTTTGAAATGTTGCTCCCAATGCCTGACAGGAATGATTTATCAGGAGTCATTCTGGGCATCCAGAGAAGTTAATTAGAAACTGGAGCAGCAGCAGGAGGAGAGCAGAGCTCATGTGCAGCTTCCCTGGATGCCAGCGAGGTTCTCAGAGTGGGAGGAGGGTGCTGGGGCTCAGTGGCAGCTCTGCCAAGTGCTTTGAGAGTTTTCCCACAAAATTTGGGCTATTCCCAGCAGCTGGACAGGGAGGATATCCTCTCACATCCAACCAAACTGTTGGATCTTCAGGAGTAAGCAGGTATTGAATAATATGGTTTAGGCAGGAAAATCTTCAGGGGTTCTCATATCATACTTTCAGGTACCATCCCCTATTAATAGGAAGTTTTATGAGGGGCTGATTTTGAAAAAAAAATCGTGTGTTGCTTTGGGAGCAAATGTTTTATGACCCATCAGACTCGTGCAGCTGAAGGAGTCATGATCTCAGAGCTCCACATCTGAGGCACAGATGAAATCAGCTCCTGTTGTCTGATGTGGTGACTGATTTGCAGCTGAAGCCTGACAGTAACACATCCAAAACCTCACAGGAACAGTGGCAGCAGCCAGTGTTAAAATCCTGACAGAAATTCTGGAGTCCTGGAAAGCAATTTTGCTTCGAGCCACTTGAGTTCAGGACAAATCCATTGACCTCCAGTGCCTTGTCAAACCCAGGTGGAAAACCTGAGTTCCACACTGGTGAAAATCAGCCCTTTAGGTAATGATTTCAGTTATGCAAATAAATCAGGGCTTCATCTGGCAACTGTGCTCGAGAATCACGTTAATTAGGGGACCTCATCATTTAATCAGGAGGCAGCAAAGTGCTTTGCTTTGGGTGTAATGGAGAGGGAGAAAAATCTGGTGTCAAATTGGGCTCAGGGAACTCGGTGTGGTGAGAAGTTAAGGCTGCTCTGAGCTCCTCATCAGCCTGGGCTGGTTGTGGATAAAAAGAACACGAAACTCTGAGGTCCAGGGGGGTCCTGCCCTGGGAATTTGTGGCCCTGCACTGGGGGAAGGTGA